TTCTCTCTATATATAGGACATTATGTGCATAGCAAATGAAGAGAGAGAGAGAGAGAGAGAGGAGAGAGAGAGAGAGAGAGAGAGAGAGAGCACTACTACATTTTACACTTTGCGCAACGAAGAGAATTTCGTCGCGCAAAATACATTGTAGTCGCACAAATTTTAGTGCGACAGAAACTTCGTTGCGTAGAATCCGTTGCGCAAAGATCGTGAAGAAAGACTTTGTGCGACGAAACATATTGGTCGCGCAAAGTGACTTTGAACGATGAAACATATTGGTCGCGCAAAGCGACTTTGCGCGACGAAAAAATATTGGTCGCACAAAGTTTTGCGCAACGAAAAGATAAAAAAAAATTCTCACGTCCCATTTTTGGTACCCGCCCAAATTTTTAGAGTTTTGCGCGACGAAATATTTTGGTTTTTGACTTTTTGTTTTATTATTTCTTTAATATTAATTTAATTATATTAATTATTTCAAATTTTTACTTTTTAAATTTAATTTAATTGTATGATTTTTTTCGTTACTTTAATTTAAATAGATATTAATTTTTTCAAATTTTTACTTTTTAAATTTAATTTAATTGTATGATATTTTTAATTACTTTAATTTAAATTGACATATTCAAAATAAAATTACATATGAAAAATAGTGATCAAATTATCCAATAAATATATATATATAATATTCAAAATGTACACATAAATTAACAAAGTACAATAATAAAATCCTAATACAAGCGTATTGTGGTGGTAGTGGCGGAGGATATGTTTTGATAGCTTCCTAATCCTCAACTTTAGCCGTCAAAGTCTTGTTGATTCCCTACAAAAAGAAAAAAAATAAAATCTCCCCTAAAATTGTTATACCACAAATCCAACCCAAACTCCAATCCCTCCCCACACAAACTCAAAACTAACTCCAAAAACACATATTAATGAAAAAAATTTAAAATTTGGAGAGAATTTACCTTTTGGCAAGATTGAGAGTGAGTGAGAGTGAGTGAGAGAAGTGAGTGTGAGAGAATTAGAGAAGATAGTGATAGAGAGATGAGAGAGTGAATGAGAGTGAGAGAATTAGAGAAGATAGTGATAGAGAGATGAGAGAGTGAGTGAGAGTGAGAGATAGTGATGAGAGAGATGATGAGAGATTAAGTGAGAGGAGTGAGTGTGAGAGAAATGGTGGGATTTGGAGAGAGGGAAAGAGAGAGGAGAGGTAAGAGAAAGACATTGAGAAAATGGTGGAAGAGTTATTTTTATTTTAAAAACCGAATCACTTTGCGCGACGAAAAATATTGGATTATTGGTCGCTCAATGTTTTGCGCGACGAATAGTGGAATATTGGTTGCACAAAGTTTTGTGCGACGAATAATAGTATATTGGTCGCGCAAAGTAAAAATGAAAATAAAAAATCCCGCGTCCCATTTTTTGTACCCGCCCAAATTTTGAAATTTTTGCGCGACGAAACATATTGGAATAAAAAAAATCCCATTTTTGGTACCCGCCCAAATTTTGAAATTTTTGCGCGATGAAAAATACATATTGGTCGCGCAAAGTCTAAAAAAATTATATAAAAAAATTCCCGCATCCCATTTTTTGGTACCCGCGCAAATTTTTGCTCGACGAAAATATATATTGGTTGCGCAAAGTTTTGAGCGACACAAAATGTTGGTCGTGCAAAGTCTTTTTTTTTTTTTTTTTTTTTTTTTTATTAATCCCGCATCCCATTTTGGGTACCCGCCCAAATTTTTAGAGTTTTGCACGACGAACTGTTGGTGGCGCAAACTTTTGAGAGACGAAAAATTGGTTCGTAGCACGATATTTATAAAAATAATTGCTATGAATAATAAAAAATAAAATAATTTTATTTTACGATTTAAAATATAAATAAGGTTAAAGCTACTTAATAAATATATATACTATTCAATTTCTTAATTGTTATACGTACAAAATAAATAAATTTTAAGCTACTTAATAAGTAAATAAATATATATATACACACACCATTCAACTATCCAACTGTCAGACTTGTTTGTATATACTTCAAGATCGTATACCCCAAAAAATCGCAAAAAAAAACATTCAGAAATGTTATAAATGAAAAATCACGATTTAACGGTTATTTTAACTCCGATTTTGATGATTTTTTTACAGCTACACTCCTTGACCCTATATGAATACAATGAACTAATTCGATCATCAATTTAAAATATTTACACTAGTGGATACCACCAAATCTCATGTTATATTTAACAAAACTATAAATAAACTCTTAATTGTTAGTGAATATATTGTTTTGATGGCATATGCATTCTACGAAATTAGTTTCAACAATCCAACCGTCAAATTTGTTTGTTTATACTTTGAGATGTTATACGCCAAAAATCGGAAAAAATAAACATTCAGAGATCAAGTAATGAGACAAAACTTTTCGACGGTTATAAATGAAAAATCACGATTTAACGGTTATTTTAACTCCGATTTTGATGATTTTTTTTATAGCTACACTCTTTGACCCTATATGAGTACAATGAACTAATTCGATCGTCAATTTAAAAAAGAATTTTTTATGTTATTTATTAGACTTTGCGCGACGAAGTTTATTGTTTTGTCGCGCAAAGTCGCTTTGAGCGACGAATTGTTTTTTGTCGCGCAAAGTGCTTTGCGCGACGAATTGTTTTTCATCGCGCAAAGTGACGAATTGTTTTTCATCGCGCAAAATTTGGTCGCTCAAGACTTTGTGCGACGATGTATTGTCATCGTGCAAAAGTTTGTCGCACAAAGTGATATTGCACGATGAAAAACAATTCGTCGTGCAAAATTTTGTCGCGCAAGGTTTGTAGCAACGAAATTTTGTGTTTCATCTCGCAAAGTGACTTTGAGCAACGAATAATTTTTCGTCGCGCAAAATGTGGTTGCGCAAGGGTGATTTTTTACTAGTGGGGAGAGAGAGAGAGAGAGAGAGAGAGAGAGAGAGAGAGAGAGAGAGAGAGAGAGAGAGAGAGAGAGAGAGAATTAATGGTATTATATTATTAAATAAAGATAATATCCCATTAATCAAGATATTTATCCCAATTAATTAATTGGCCAGATAAACTGGTTCAATTAATTAATTTAAGAAATAATCTTCTTTTCCACGTGGTGTGCTGTGATTGGAGACGAAAATATCTACTCCTACAACCACCACCATCACCACTTTCTAAACAATTGAAGAAATTATAGTTTGGGCCAATTGAAACTATTAGTAAACACTGGAATTTGATTATAAACAGTTAAAACTAAACCTAGGTCAAACTAAAGGGCATAAAATTTTATTTCCCCTTTGAACAAATTTGTCTCTAGTTTGATAATAAATAAGTTAAAAAAAAGAGAGTTGATGATCCCACTTCTTTTTTAACCATTTGCACTCTTTTTGTTGGAAATTGTATATTCCCACTTCTTTTTGTCCATTATATAATCCCTTATATGTTATAGTAAAAAGTAATATTATAAAACAAAGGGGATTGTAAGTGGACAAAAGAGAAATAGAAAAATCATCAGCACCCAAAAAAAATTGCCAAAAGTTTTCCAGGTTAAATGTGCAATAATTTTTCCTCAGTTTTCATGGGTGAATTAATGGCATGGGTTTCTCACGCGCATATGAATCAAGCAGTGGCGGTTCCAGCCTATGGCAGGCTGGGCTCATGCCCGGCCGAAATTTGTGTTAAAAAAATATTACCCACACTCTTCTCTCTCCTCTCTCCTCTTTTGCCAAGTCCAAATTTTTGTTAAAAAAAATATTATCAACACTCTCCTCTCTCCTTTTTTTTTATTTTATTTTCCTTCTCTCCTCTCTATCTCTCTTTTTTCGTTCTTTTCCTTCTCTCTTCTCTCCCTCTTTTTTTTTTCTTTCTTTTCCTTCTCTCTTCTCTACCCCTCTTTTTTTTTCTTCTTTCTTTTCCTTCTCTCATCCCTCCTCTCTTTTTCTTCTATCTTCTCTCCTCTCTCTGTCTTCTTCTCTCTCTTTCTTATTTCTTATTTCTTCCTTTTCCTTCTCTCTTTTTGCTAGAAAAATATTACCTACATTACTTATGATTATTAATTTTTTTTTGTCTCGCACAAAGATAGCTATTTCAGAAATTACGGAACATTATGATTGATAGGGCTATGGAGCTCGAGTGGAAAGCCAAAAACGTATGTCATAATAGACAATTATAAAAGGAAACAAGGAGAAATGAGGTCACAACTCGTTAAAAAAAAAATAGCTCCGCCAATTTTCTTCATTCCCACTTCTCTCGATATAAACCTGGCTTTTTTTTATTAAAAAAAATTAATGTAGTCCCCTATTTTATCTATCTTTTTAATGTGAAATAAATTTTTTTTCTATTTATTTCTTTTAATTTTTATTTTGGTTTTTATTTTAGTTTTTGTAGATATAGATGCATTTGAGGGTAAGACTTATTACTTCTTCCCTCACTATGTAATTTTTTTAATGTTTATTAATGAAATTCACTCTTTTCGTCAAGTTTATTATATAAGTTTTGCCCGGTCGGCTTTCGAATCCTGGAACCGCCACTGGAATCAAGAGAGAAATTGAGGGAGAAAAATAATGGATTAACCAATTAAGGAAATCCATGGAGGAGATAGAGACTATGTTGACTTCGCTCATGCCTCTCAAGTCTCAACATCTAGAGATATTATTCACCTTTACTTCATGTTTATAGGGTTGTGGGTACTGGGTTTTTTCCTGTCTCTTTATAAATATTATTTTTTTTTTCTTTTTTTCTTTTTTTTTTTTTTTTTTTTTTTTTTTTTTTTTTTTTTTTTTTTTTTGCCAATGCATATTTATTTTACTATAAAAATTGTTATGGTATGTACCGAAATTACCTAATGGATATATCTAAGATGTCATGCAAAAAAAAAAAAAAAAAAAAAAAAAAGAAGAAGTCAAAACAAAACATTTATTCATGAATGGAAAGTTAGAACACAACTTAGAGCAACCCTTGATCAAGTTGTAATATGCACATTCAAATTTTCTTGTTCCAGGGATGACATTGATCAAAGCTCTCAGAGGTATAATTGTACATACATGGACCTCCAGTTTTGACAATCCACGTACAAAACTTGCAATCATCCCTGTTGTGTTTGAAAATGTCGAACCATTGAATTTGTTTTGGCCACACAAAGCTGCAGTAGAATTGTGTACTTCCCCAGAAGTTGGGCCTGAACTGAAACTGAAAGCTTGCATTGTTCTGAAGTTGACGAGCACCAAGATCATCGTCTTTGGATTTACAATGAACGCTAACATCTGCTGCTGGTTCCAAACCATTGATAATTTTAACATGCGTTATACCCCAAAATTTACCCTCACACATGGTAATGAATGCAAAAATCAGGAACAAAATGATCAATTTGTCCATCTTTGTATGTATTTTGTATGTTGAGACACATTGGTTATGTGGGATGCCCAACAATTTATAGGCCAATACTGCTTTGGAGAGATTCACACATAGAAGTATCTAGCTAATACATATTAGAATATGCCCCATCAACAATAAATACCATGAATATTGTCCAGTATTTGATATTCATGTATGGGTGTCACATCATGCCAACGTTATTTTTGGTAAGAAATATATTGCCACATTCATCCTTTTTCTTTAATAGGTTATCTGTAATTGAAAATACGTTTTTTTTTCCCCCTCAAATACAAGTAATATATTAGGGAGTGAGGAATCAAACACATGACCTGGAGTGCAAAAATAAATTAACTACCCGATCTATCCCTTACAATTTAGTAAGGAATATATTAACAAATTTTAGTCTGTCTAGGTTATTTTTCTTTTTTAGCAAATGCTCTATATTGTTTTTGCAGAATACCATACATGTTGTCTAATATATGAGGGGTGCCAAAAAATATTGTATATTCTATATAAACAAGGTAAAACGGTAATTTTATGCTCATCCTTAAAAGGTAAAAAAAACATTAGCTTATGGACTCAGACCAAAGGGAGCATTACTTCATGGATGGACAACTAGAAACACAACTTAGAGCACCATTTGAGCCATCAACCATATATGCCCACCAAATTTTCTTGTTCCACTTATAGCATGGATCATACTTACATGGACAATCAGGGGTGACCAGGCCAGCCGGCCACGTACATAACTTGCACTCATCCCTCGTGTGTTTAAATATCAAACCATTCAATCCGGGATGGCCATACCAAGCAGAAGTTAGTGAACGTCACGGCCTTTGAATTCACAATGAACTATAACATCCGACATTGGAGGTGTGAGATGCCTAGAAATTTATAGGGCAAAGTGCTCTGTCTGGATAGATTTGCTTGCATGCATCTAATACAAATTAAATAGAAATATGCCCCATCAATAATAAATACCGTGAATGCTGTCCAAAAATATATTGCAACATTCATCCTTTTCCTTTCTTAATTATATATTTCTGTTCATTTCCAATTTTATAACTTCATAGGTTTGACCTTCATTCCATTTCCATCCTCATAATCCTAATTGTCTCAATCAAATCTCCGTAATTTAATATTTGTTTCAATTGGTAAAGTTACTTGCAAATTGTATATTCCGTTACTTCTTCGAGGCCTACAGACTCCAAGTAAATCCTCATTAAGAAATGACCTAATACTGTCAGGAGGGTCATGGAAAGTTGACATAATTACTTGGTTACTTGTATATTCCGTTACTTGGTTATGCCAAAGTAGCACTTCCTATTTTGATATGTATCATCAATAATTACTATTGCTTTTTCTAAAAAAAAGAAAAAAGAAAAAAAAAGAGAGACTAATAAAGGGATTAACCAATTAAGGAAATCCATGAAGGAGATATAGTTGTCAACAAGTGCATTGTATATGGAGACTATGTTGACTTTTCACATGCCTCAAGCATACATTATGGGAAAAAAAAATTCTAAGATTACCATTAATGTTATAACATGTGAATTAATATGATCGAGTATTAAAAAAAATATCAAATGCAATAAAAAAAGGAAAAAAAAATATCAATACATTGAAAAACATGAATTGCAAATTTTTATTATTTCAAAATAAAATCTAAGCAAAACAGCTTTGTGTGAATCTGCATTTGATAGCATTGCGGTTAGGATCAACCACGTACATCATCCACAATAACATGATAAGATAGCTCCATGGAATGGAAGTTTAAATTTTTTTCCCAAACGTTATGTGCGTTTCTTCTCGTCGTTCCATTTCTTATGATCATAAACTTTGGTAATTTTGTTGTACAAGCTTGGACCATCATTGCTGATAATCCATTTACAGTCCCTGCAATTAAATGTCTCTTCTATGAAAACGTCAAGCCAATGAAACTGGTTAGGCCATTGAAAGCTGCACCAGAACTGTGTGCCCCCGAAAAAGTTCATCTTGAAATCCCACCTGTAGAATTCTTGATGGTGAAGTACATGAACTCCTAGATCGTCGTCCGCGGACTTGCAATGAATGGTCAGATCTGTGGTATTTGGGTCCAGATTGTTGGTGATTTGAACATGTGTAGAACGCCATGCAGCCTCACAATTAGCAGCGAGCAAAAACATGAACAGCAGCAACAATGGATTCATATTTCTTTTGTCAATGAGGAAGACGGATTCGAACTTGGGAACGTAACAAGACTTGCTTATCAATTTATACTGTGGGACTGTGGGATGATAAGACCGTTACATCACTGCCAACTCATTTGTATTTTTTTTTTTTTTTTTTTTTGTTTCTATGTTTTATTTTTATTTTTATAGTAGGGAGCTTTAGTTTTAAAACACAATATAGTTTACTAATTTTTAAGATAGGAATACAATTTCATCTAATTAGCATAAAGTCAAACACCAAAACTTAATACCTAATTTTACAAAAATATCATTAAAAAATATCAAAATTGCCCTTTATTCACCTTTTTTTTAAAAACAAAGATTTTGTGTCATTGAAGGAACTCAAACCTTAACCCTCAAAGGAGGAAGGCTCATTCACAAACCACTACACCAACTTGATTTTGTAATATTTATTCAGTTATACAATATTTATATAAACAATCAACGGTTTAAAAAAAAAAAATTCATTTCAACACTTATTCACACAAAAACTACAAATAAAAACATAAACTGCAACAAAAATACAATGTAATCAATTATGTTAAAAAAAAAAACTAAAAAAAACCAAAACGAAACAAGCTACAAAAACAAAAATGAATTTTATTGAAGCAAAATGGAGGAACCCAAGATGAAAGTACTAAAATGGAAACTGCGATGCAGAAACGGAAATTGCAATGTAAAAGCGGAAACTGCAATGCATAAACGGAAACTGAAATACAAAAATGGAAACTACAATGGTGAGTTTGGGCAAAAATGCTCAGCTCTAGAGTTAAACAAAACAGAACTATATATATATATTTTTTATTCAAGACATGTTGGTAAAATACTTTGTTTCTGGCAATGCAGTTTCCAAAAGTCCAATTTTGAGTTCTCTTGCTCTTGGGTAGTTCTACTCTTCTTTTGCCCACCCAATTCCTCATCTGGATAGCCTTTACTCTTCAAATTGGTGAAGTTGAAGGCCAAGAAAAGAACAAAAATTAAATTGTAATTAAATGAAAACTGCAATGCAGTTTCCAAAACTGCAAAATTTTGAGTTTCCTTGCTCTTCGGTAATTCTACTCTTCTCTTGCCCACCCAATTCCTCATCTGGGTAGTCTCTACTTAGATACTTAGTGTACCTAGTAAGCAACCTAATCTTCTCTCTTCCTCTTTCACTTAGATACTTAGTGTACCTAGTAAGCAACGTTCTCAGTCTCATTCTCTCCTCTTTTGCCTTTTCCAAAATTGTTGTAGGTTTTCTTGCTTCATGTAATCTTGTGATGATACTGTACGCCTAGAGCAACTATTGCCAAAATTTGATAACAATGTAAAAGGAGAAAGAGAGACTGCAGTTGCATCGAACTTCATTCAAAGAAGCAATGCATGACCCCAAACTAATGTGTGATCTAACTAACATGAAATATAGAATATGTACACCTGATCTTTTGAGTTGATTGGGGTCATGCAATCAATTCTTTTTCTTGAAAAATGTGTTATGCGATTTCGAAGGTCCATATGCAGTGTGCAATCAATTCTTTTGTGTTTCGAACATTGGGAAAGAACCCCTTTTCTCTCTTGGAGGTGAGACAGTAAATGAAGATTTTCCAGGGCGTAGATACTAGACTGGAGCTTTCTTGATTGGATACTTTGTCTTTGTCTACATTGTTATTCTTAGTCTAATATATATCATATTAATCCTTGGTTGCAGAGCATGCCCACAGTATAGCCATTCATTTTTTATATTCTAAGAGCATCTCCAACCAATGTGTCAAAAATGCCACATAGACATTTAACGGCTAGAAATAACATCTCACATCACTTCAATCGATGTGTCAAAGCTGATGTGGAATGAAGGCTGGAGGTTGAGATGTTATTTTTGACATCCCAAAAGCAAGATGTCAAATGAATATTTTATTATTTTTAAAAGATAGTTGGCTATTACTTTCATTTATTATTTTCCTTTTATTATTTTTTTTCTTCTTTATCTTAAATGATTTGACTGTTACAATAATTATTTATTTGACATATCGGGTGGAGTGTAAAGCTGTGTAAGATGTCAAATTGCCACATCAGCCATCAAATTTAAATTTGATGTTTGATATTTGAAATCTCCCTTAAAGATGCTCTAAGAGCATCTTCAACTAATATGTCAAAAGTGCCACATAGATATTTAACGGCTAGAAATAACATCTCACATCACTCCAACCGATATGTCAAAACTGATGTGGAATGAAGGCTGGAGGTTGAGATGTTATTTTTGATATTCTAAAAGCAAAATATCAAATGAATATTTTATTATTTTTAAAAGATAGTTGGCTGTTACTTTCATTTATTATTTTCCTTTTTTTTAAATATATTTTTTTCTTCTTTATCTTAAATGATTTTATTGTTACAATATTATTTATTTGACATATCGGGCGGAGTGTAAAACTGTGTAAATGTCAAATTACCACATCAGCAATCAAATTTAAATTTGATGTTTGGTATTTGACATCTCCCTTGAATATGCTCTAAGCCTAATGTTTTAGCCTTTATTGGGTCAAAAGTCTCAAAGATTGAAGGGTTGGTAGACCAAAAGCAAAAACTGAAAATACTCACTCACAAAGTGCCACCTTTCAAGGAAACTGGTTGCATCTCCAATTTTCAGCATGCTGTTCTTGTCCATATTTCTCTTGCACAAGTTGATTTCATTTCATTCTACTGCTGCAACTCACATTTTAACTCCATCCGAACATATCTTGCAAAATGAAACTTTAACCTCTCTACCAACCAAAATTTTGAATTGGGCTTCTTTAGTCCTGGTAATTCAGGCAAACAATACATTGGAATATGGTATAAGAATAACTACATACATAGAACAGTCGAATCGTATAGGTGGCCAACAGAGAGAGGCCACTTGCCAATACAGACCCCTTTTTGAGTCTAAGAACGGGCATTGATGGAAATTTGAGGCTTGTGGATGGAAAACAGAACACTGTCTGGTCAACCAGTGTCACCACCTCATTGAATAATTAGGAAGCAGTGCTATTAGACACCGGAAACTTCATTTTGAGAGATCATATATCTGGAGGAATCTTTTGGGAAAGCTTTGATTATCCCTGTGATACTTTCTTACCTGAAATGATGATAGGATTGAACACCAAAACTGGAGAGAGACGCTTCTTGGATTCGTGGAAATCTGCAAATGATCCATCATCCGGAACATTTGTAATTGGAGTTACTGCTGAGTTGCCACCACAAGTTTTTCTTTGGAATGGTTCAAATCCATACTGGAGAAGTGGCCAAAGAAATGGATTGAAGTTCATAGGGGTACCAGAAATAGGTGCATTGTACTCTAAATGGATTTAATCTCATGCAAGATAATCAACAGGGGACGAATATCTTACTTTCAAAGTGTACGTACAGATACGATTCATGTAATATATCGCAATGCAGTTGCTATAGATAAAGGATTATACTTAAAAGCAACAAATGTTCGCTTTCATGTGCAATGTCCAGACCACTAGCTAGTTTCCTTTCCTGCCTTGTGCACCAAACTTTTACTTGCTTGTTATACAGAGAATAGAGGACAGCATAGTTAGTCTTCAATGAACCTTCCTTGAGCACCAAAAAAGCTGAAAAGACACGCATCATTTTAAATAGTCCGCTTAAATTACAGATGAGGTAGGTGGTAATTACTGTGAACGCAGCCAAAATATGGGGCATCTAATATTTAAGTATTGTTAGCCAAACCTTAACTCAAGCGTACACCACAATTATTGGCATTGCTAAAACATACTAAACAATTCGACAACCAATATGTAACGTCAAAAGTACACAAGGACATATCAATATTTCTCTGAATCTATTAATTTTTTCTTGCAAAATTAACATATTTATTTTCTCCCAGCTAAAATACGATAACTAAGTTATTGATACTACACCCATAACGCATCAATTTAGCATCCTGTATATGCAAACTTGCATATAACTGCATAAACCAGATACAAGAGTATATCACGTATTCTGGTAGCCTAAACCAGCCAGCCTTAAGTCAAGCATACAAAAAACTTAGTAGCATAGTTAACAACATCTAGACTATACCCACTAGGAATAGTCACTTGCAAATAGTGAGTATATCATTTTACCCCTTAGGGGTGTTAGTGGAAATAACTCTTTAATAAATAATAGAAGAAACAGAATATAGTGTGCAGCATAACGTTTCTTTGCTTTTCCAAAAGGAAACGGGTACTACATTACATTTCAGATCACCTAAGCATAATACAAGACTCTTGGTTTAAGATTTTAAAGATTTTGAGACTAACATACAATCATTCACTACGAGATACAAGCCCTGTGCGCTCTGTGCACGAAAAATCAAACACTCCAAGCATGTTTTTCATGTTCTTCATATTCCATGACACTCTGTCGGAAAGTTTAAGCATGAGCAACAAAAATTGAAGGTTGAGGGAATAAGTGCACAGATTCAAATCACGCACAAAAAATCAGAATGTGTAAGGAACATCACATACTTTCCTAGTATTTACATCCCAAACCTGTTACTATTCCCTCATAATCAGTACTAGCTATATGGTTTTTCGTAAACTTGTTCCAGTTCAAGCAACTATGCTTTGAACTTGTAGGCTTTCCCATGACGCCTGATCAAAATTCCTTTACAATTAGAAATTTTGGTGCATATATGTTATTTTTATTGTTTTGTTGTTAAAATAGCAGGAGCTGTTTCATTGATAAAGATGGAAAACCTTCTGAGATGTCCGGTTGATACTCTTAGTTCAATGCTAATGAGTGCGAAAATATGGCTGGAGCTGTTCTGTTGATAAACATGGGAATGGTACGTATGTGCTTTCCTTGCAATCGACAACAGCAAATTTATCTTTACCAAGAGAATCAATTTTCTGTCATTGATTTTATTTATTATGTGGTGGATACTTTGCTTGTCTAGCTAACAGGTTACTATTTGATTGATACTTTACTTGACTAGCTACCAGGGAACTGTTAGATTGGATTCGAGTTGAGTCCAAGTCAGTATGTGGCTCACCAAACAACGGCTAGGACTCTTGTCCATTTTAATTGAAGTCCAGTCCAGTCCAGTGAGTCTACCAGAAGATACACCCTAGAGAAGACAAGAATTCAATATTTTTATGACCAAGAGCAAAGAATCTGAAAAGACTTTCTCGCACTGGAATAATCTTTGTATATATGCTTTGTGCAGTTCATCACAAGTCATCTTGATCCTTCTATTCTCACACTTAGAGATGCTTACATATAGCGGCCACTAAAATATCAATAAACATTACTTGATAGACATGGATCCTTCCTTGTATGAGGCAGCAAGATCAGGTGACGTTGGTTTCTTGAGAAAAAATAAAGATGCTGACGTACCAGATGATCTTCTCCATCAGAAAACGCCTATGGACAATAATATACTTCACATTGCCGCTGAGTTCAAGCACATAGACTTCTTTATCTCCACCATGATTCCTGTTTGAAGGTAATACATAGAGATTTGAAGGTCAGTAACATTCTCTTGGATGAGAACATGAACCCAAAAATTTCAGATTTTGGATTGGTATGTATCGTTCAAGGCACGCAGAGTCTCACAAGGTTGTGGGAACAATGTAAGCATCATCTCTTTCTTTTCCAGTTCTCAGAAATCTTCTTTAAAAGTTAAATCCTTGGACACACTGTCACTCATATTGTTAATATTACTGAATAAAAGGGCTAGGCGGTCTAGGCGGTCTCTAGGCGGTCGCTAGGCGGGCTAGGCGGTCTAGGTGGGAGCTACGCAGTCTAGGCGGGCGCTAGGTGGTCTAGGTTGGAGCTATGCAGTCTAGGCGGGCGCTAGGCGGTCTAGGCGGGCGCTGCGCCTTGAAAAATAAAAAATTTCGCCATTTCGGAATCTCCAAGGTCTAGGCGGGCTATGCGCGAGAGACAGAGAGATGAGGATTGAAGAAGAAGTCTGAGTGAAGAAGGAGTCTGAGCGAGAGGGAGGGACTGGAAGACGGCTCTTGTTAGAGTTAGGGTTTGAGAAGGAAAATTTCATTTATATGTTGATGAAAAAAAACAAAAGAGATGGGCCCCCGATTACTCCTTCAGGCGTTAGACCCGTGCGTGCAGCCCACCTACGGCCTAGTTTCGAACATTGGGATTGACATGTTGGTAAATCAAGTTGTACCAACACTTCAATGTACAACCCTGCAATTTTAACCGACTCCTCTTCCCTTCTGTTTTTGTTTATATTTAACTGAAAATTAGTTTCGAACATTGGGTCTGTTTGCCGTTACAGACCCCTTTCCGAGTCTAAGAACGGGCATTGATGGAAAGGGTCGTATGTTTGTTCCTCTCTTGTGTTGAAAACGGTAATGCCTGTGATCCTCTGAACTCCAAGTTGAGTAGCAATGAGGTTCTGCATTAGCAAGGAGCCAAGCAATTACTCGCACAGATGAAAATACCATAGGCAAATTCTTTTAAACTAATAATCTCAATGCTGCAATTGGAGACGACCAGTTTTGGAGATGATCACTTCAACAAAAATGTTTAAAACGAGTCCATAATATGCTGTTGTAATTATATTCTCCTCAACCCTCGGCAAAACCTGTGCATGGATTTTAAATTCATAAATCAATTAGATAAGCAATTGAGATGCTAACATTATGAATTTAATTAGAAATGAGTTCAAATGTGTAATTCATGGTTTCTAACTTTTTCTGTCATCAATTAAACTTATATAATCCATCTGAGCTGATCTCAAAGTTCACAGAGCTTACGAGGTCTGTTAGAAGAAGAAGAAGAAGAACATTGAGGCCAATTAAAGCAATAGAGAAATGAAACAAAACCGCCCAAATAAATAAGCCCAATAAGAAATGCTTACTTGAGATTAGATTTTTTCATTACATTTATTCTGTGACTAGTTCTATGAACTAAAGACTGACAAATAAAGGAGGTTAAAATACGGGTAATTTAAAATATTGACAATCAAGATGCAGTAATAAGAGATATACAAACAAAACATTCAGAAGAAGTAAAATATTTTAGTGAGGATACTTACGCATGCAACAGAGCAGGAGGAGTCCAAGAAGGAGATGGAAAGAAAGGAAACGAGGAAGGAGGACAGAGGGATTGGATTGGATTCAGAAAACCAAAATCCCAAACGAAATCGGAAAATCAAAACTAGAAATTAATGCCCTGCTTATTAAAGATGCGTGCATTGGGGTTTTTAGTTTTAAATGATAATTTATTATTTAATCAAGACTGATAAATGTAATGAAAACAATAATATTGATTAATATGGTTGGTTATTCAATCAAGCCAAACCGCCTATATAACATGTAAACAAGAAACACCCTTCTTTCTTTCTTTCACAATTCATCCTACACCTAACTGCGTGCTAGTCGTTTTTTCTCTCACAACCGCAAAGCCAAACACCAAGCTCTACACAGCCACAGACAACGTCTGCGGAAAGGACCTTTTCTCGCCAGCTATGGCCCCTCTCAACTGCCATACGCCAATAATCGGTGTGTATGCTTTTCCTTTTTCTTTTAATTCAAGAGTGACCAAGACTGCAATTGAATTGCTTGAGCTTTAAATTAATTTTATGCCACAACTTTTGTGTATGAAAAATTATCTTTTTACATTGAAAATATTTAATTTTTTGTCTTTGTCCACTCAATCATATTGTTCTATTGTATATCCTCCCTTTTGCGCTAGTGCTCCTCTATGCTCTTGATTTTTGTTTTTAGGATTCTGAGAGAGATTATATGAAATTTGCTTGGGCTTTGTGTGGTTTGGAAAAAAGAAAGTGTTGTTTTTGTTTTATTTTTGTTGTTGTAATTAGAGGATATATATTATGCCAAAAGATTTAATCAATTTTTAAAGATGATTTTTCCTGCCAAGTTATTTTGGTATGTGCACGATGGATATATATAGCCGGTATTTAATAATACATTTATTTGTTGATAGGATCATAGAATGATTTACTAACTCCGAGAGAATTTTAGATGGTGGTTTTCTTTATTATACTGCAACTTGAGGTGTTTAGATGTCACATGCAATAGAACGCTTAACTTTGTTCGAATTAGTGGAAACACGTGATAATAGTGGAAACTGAGTTATGATTGGAAAAATAATTTCGTTGTTGATAAACTTTTGTAACTAATTCCTTGTTGGCTTGGGTTCTCCGATTGTTATGTATTTTGTTATTCTCTTGGTCATATTTTTTTGTTTGTGCTGTCTCTTGGCAGGATGGAAAGGTGGCTGATACATTAGAAGGTGCAGATCTGTTGATACCAAAATCAGCAACTAATAAGAGCTAAACATGAGGACAATGCGCGTCATCGGCAGGGAAGCCTTCAGCACCTGGTCATGCCGATCGTAGAATAAAAACACAAATGCCCACTAGACACGTGACATGTCCACAGTAAATGCCCAGAGTCCCATATCGAAATTCTACACCACTTGCACACCTCCCAAGGTTTATAAAAGGAGCACAATTCTCCAAAATGGAGGTAATCTGAACTTTTGACATACTGCCTTTGGATTTGTTCAAATCCTTTACTAAATCCGTACTTACTCAAACATCGGAGAGCCTTCGACTAGTACCATACCGGTACCTAAGGTCTTACCGAGCGTTTGCTATCTTGCAGATTATACGCTCTTCTGAAGGCCCAACATCACTAAGTTGAGCAGGAAAAGTGCCGAACCACTTTTTCGTATCAACAGTTTGGCGTCGTTTGTGGGACGCGATCTGAATCAACCCACTATCCCTAGAACACATGGGGACCACTTCAGTACCAGTATTTTTGCCATAAGAGGGGTTGCCATTCGGAAGGTAGAGTGGAGCTAGCCCAGCGCTGCCCTATGCACTCCATTCGGCAATTCGCCCGTTATGCAACTCACCGCTGAAGCCGAGCTAGCTTTTGGCCCAACACACTTCTCTTTAGTAGGACATGGCTAAGTTACAAGAACATAACAACCTCCTTTCGTCCAAAGTGGATGAAACCCAGCAGTTGCTCAATCAACAGCATATGGAGAATATCCAAACCACCCAATCTTCCCAAAGCCTACAGACCCAAGTCGGCAGAAGAAGGGCAAGAAGGGGGCAAAGGCAATGCCTGCGCCCTCCAAGCAGCTAGTAGTCCCGGCTCCCAGAGACCAACCGCACCTACCGAATAAGGTTTACTCCGACTATTGCCATCGGCTTAACGACAAGGAAGTCAGCAGACAGCGATCTTCGATCAGAGTCAATGCGTGACTCCGAGACTCACGATTGAAGGTTTTGGGAAATAAATCACCGATTCGGAAAGTTCGGGGCTTGGAATTCACCGCCAAATCAAACTATGAGTATGTCCCTTCCAAGACCATCGAGTCCACCTACTGTTCGACAACGCCAACGAGGTATTTGGAGGCCAGACCAGTAAGCCCACAGAGACATTCGGAGGACTATGGCTCAGAGGAAATCCCTAGCCGAGATCCTTTTCTTCGGGAAAAGTGCCGAACCACTTTTGTAACTAATTCCTTGTTGGCTTGGGTTCTCCGATTGTTATGTATTTTGTTATTCTCTTGGTCATATTTTTTGGTTTGTGCTGTCTCTTGGCAGGATGGAAAGGTGGCTGATACATTAGAAGGTGCAGATCCATCTAGTTTGGCTAATAAAGTTGCAGTTAAGCCTCAAGAACCTGCTCCGGAGTTGACAAAAGAAAATGAATCTTCCCAAGGTTAAATTCAAGGGCAAGATGGCCTTGACGATGCCTTGAAAAGGCTGCTGCAACAGCTGATTGACTCTAATCGAGTCATGCTTTTCATGAAAGGAACCCCTGAGAATCCCAAATGTGAATTTAGCAAAATGGCTGTTAACATGTTGAAGAGACATGAGGTCGAATTTGGAAGTTTTGATCTTCTTACGGACATTGAAGTCATGGAGGGGATACAAAAGTATTCTAATTCGCCACTATTACCACATATCTACTATTGAAGGGAGGGCTCGTGGTTTTCGTCACATAGAAACTCTTTTGAAAGGTTGCCCATCTGATCCAAATGTGTTTGGATAGATTACACAATACAAAAGTTGCACAAGAGAAAGCATTTAACTTTTGCAAAATGTGATTTCGATAGAAGAAAAGATATTGAGGCATTTGCAATGTAATGTTTTGATTCTTAAAGTGTTTATTTGCCTGGCTAATTTCTGTTTCTTTTATGGGTTCATGATATAATTATTTATAATAACTAGGAAAATTTTTGGTTCGATGTAATGTATATTAATAGTTGTTTGAGTTTGGTGGTGTGAAACAAATTTTGAATACGTTGAATGAAATTGAGTTTCTCCCTACAAGTGCTTGCTCTCTGGATTTGAGAATTACATACATTCTCTCATTGTTCTGGGTATTCCTAGAATCAAGAGAGTTAGGAATTTATTTCAATGGGTGATTTTTATCTTGGTCAAAGTGCCGCTACACTACACGACTTGATTTGTTTACCTCTTCTCGAGGGTTTGGAACCGCCGCTTTCTCTCTCAACTAGCGAAAACCCACATCCAACGCCGCTCCATCTCAGTGACGGGGAGGAGGTCCCGACCCCTCCTCCCCCTCCTCCCCCTCTACTGTGTCTTGCTGGTCTTTCGAGGTTTTTCTCTCGGAGCATTTGGAATCCCCATCTTGCTGGTCCGAAGATCTCTCGTCGTTTGAGTCTGGTGACGTGTTCGAGCTTCACTTGCTCGTTTCTGAGGCTTCATGCCTCGTACCTTGTTTGCAATCCCAAATCTCCACCATTCCATTCCTCTTATAGTTTTTCTTTTGCTGCCCTCCGATTGGTTGCTGTTCTCTTATAGGTGCGTCGACGATCTTGAATCTGGTGGAGTTGGGATCTCTCGGGTGATGTTCATCACCCAGACCCTCACTCTTCCTTCTCGACCTGGTTGCATCTCTTGGATACAACGGCCAATCCAAAACGCGATCTCTCGCATAAATCTTGGAAGGTGTGTAGAGTTATGGCAATGCTACGGCTCTGGTGCTTGCACCACCTTTTTCCTGTTTCATGGTTTCGGTTCTCTTGGCTTTGGACTGATTTGAGTGGTATCGGTTATGGTGGCGGATCTGTGGTGGTCAAATTTTTATGTTGTTTTTTGCGGCTGTTTCTTTCAATTGGGTGTAATGCTGTTTTTAATTCAATTTTTTTTGTAATTTCAATTTAGTTTATATGTCGGTATCACCATTTGGGACAATCTTGTTGTTCTTGTTCATGTAATACTGCAGATTAGTTGTTTCTTTGAGCTTTCTTACTGGGTTGCTTTATTTTGTAATTATATGATCTCGCCGTTTTGGGTGAGGTTTTCTGTTTTATGGAATTATATCATCTTTCTCGACCCAAAAAAAAGACTTGCAATATCCGTCTGGGTGGCTTTTGCCCCTTGCGAGCCTAGTGAAAGTGGGTTATTTCATTCCACCGATGGCATTTATGAAAATAGCTGGTTCTATATTATTGTACGTGTATGGACCCTCGGATTTGATGACCATCTATGTACCAAATCTTGCAGTCATCCCTACTGTACATAAGTACAAAGGTTTCATTATAGAGAAGTTGGAGGGTCTTTATTTGTTTTCTATCCACTTATTTTTCTTTTTTCCTTTTTACCAATATGAACTTATTTTTCTTAATGCATCCTTTTATTAAGAAAAGAAAGAAAAAGGTGGGATGAGTTGTGGTTGTAATGGGAATGGCGAATTTACCCAAACATAATTTATTTTTTTTTTTTTTTTTTTTTTTTTTTTTTTTTTTGTTATCTCTACTCATTGTCTTATCTTCTCATCTAGGGATGGTAACAGGCGGTTTGGAGCTGGGTATCACAATACCCTCCCCTTCCTCGCTACCCATCCCTGCCCCTATCCCCAGTTAGAACTTTCAAGGAATCCCCGTTCCTATTCCCGTAAAGGGAATGCCTCCCAAACCCGCCCCGAATCCCTGAATATATATTTAAAACCATTCTACTTATAACAAAATAATCAATATATGCAAGGTTAATAAAAAGTAAAGAACTTCGAATGGGTAACAAGAGTAGGTAAGTCTAAAGTACTTGATATTATAGTCCCACGTTTGAAGTTTCTTCTCCTAGCTATGCGTCGACACAAATTTACTCGTTCCACTGATATACATCATCATAACTACGAGTTTCACTGTTAAATCTGCGTGGACCGTCAGCTTTGATCAACCACGCACAATTCTCGCAGTTATCTCTATCTTGTATGAAAATGTCAAACCAATGGAATTGGCCAGGCCACTGAAAGCTACAAAAAAATTGTGTACCCCCAAAAATCTTAATTCTGAAATCAAACCCATAGACAGTTTCATAATGAATCAGATGTTCTCCTAGATCATCATCTGCAGACTTACAATGAATGCTGAGATCTACGTCTGGACCTAGACCGTTGGTAATACGAATATGTGTGTCAAGAATGCCGCCGCTAGATCTGAACTGAGTGGCAGGCATTGCAGCCACACCAATAGCCGCAAGCAAAAATGTCACTAGCAACACCCTCAATTGATTCATCTTTGTGTTTTGTTCTTGTAAGGAGGATATACATTTTGTTTGCAGGGTGTTTATGAATTTATAGGTTGGAAATGTGGGATGATAGAGTTGAATCTGTTTGCCTAATGATTAGTTAGCTGACGCGTGAGTGTTGTTAGGCTGCTATAGTAAATCATGTGTTTAGTCTCAGGTTAGTTAGATTAGTTAGCTCGATTACTTGGCTGCTAATGGTGTACTTGTGATATAAAAACCTATCGCGCGTAAAGTGTAAGTCATTCGGTCAATAACAGAAAGATCAGTTTTCTTGAATTCTTCTTCTTTTCTGTTTTCTCTCTGTCATCATGAAGCTTCTCGATTCTTCTTTCTTCTTCTTCTGTTATCAACATGAGCAATTGTTGGTGCAACAACATTTTTCAGTGGCGAGATAGAACGCAACATTAATTAATGAAAAAGCATAGAAGGGAATACATGGAATTGTTGGGTACATCTCTTTTGGTAGGTTATATAATATTGATGCCTAGTACGTAGGTTGCCATGCAATGAATATTAAGGAGATAATAAGAATAAAGAACTTTTCTCAAAGAAAAAATAAGCCCATTTAGTTGATTTTGTAGATATGTAATTTAGTTTGTTCTATGCTTTGTCGCCTAGGCATTTTCATTCAAACTTGATGTGTAGCCAATTAGGTGAGGTACGTGTGTCCCTTTTTTTATCACATAGAAGGCCGAAGCCCAAGAAAACCATAAAAAAATACTACACTAGGACAACAAGCTTAGAGGTGGAGTACGTGTGCCCATTTTGCTCAACATGTGAATGACCTAAAAGAACAACTTCTAAAAACCCTACGTTTTATTTTGACTTGGTGGGGCCTGCGTGTCCGTGTGGTTTCCGGTTGTAGTTTATTTCGTTTTCCTTATTATTTTTTAAAAAAAATTCTAAAAACCCTATCAGCTTTTCAAAATCATATTATTTTCCATCAAAAACTCTCTCCCCCTCTCACACCTCACCCCAAAAAAAAAAACTTCTTTATTTTATTATTTTATTTCTAAAGTTGAACAAGTAGATTCCATTATAATAATACAAATTTATAAATAAACTCAATCCTAGACATGTATTTATAAAAAAAACCCAAGCACTATTTAAACATAGAAACACACCCAAAATCAACCCCAAAGTCAACTTTTTAGGTGTGTTTATAAATGGATTTTGAGTGTGTGTAATGATGGGTTTTGGATGTGTTTATATATTTAAATAGTGCTTGGGTTTTTTTATAATTTCAACCCCCATTTTGGGTGTTTTAGTGAAACTCCCTTATAATAATCGGGTATCACAATCCCATCGAAGGTTTTTTTTTCTCTTACTTAAGCACCAACCCAATTTTCTTGCTATCATTTCATAGATAACCTTTGAGTTTTTCTTGCATCATAACCTTTGAGTTTACCATTAGAGCAGTCTAATGGGACTTATCAAGGTTGGGCTAGGTCCATATCTGGCTACAAATGACAAAAAACCTTTTTCTAATGCATGTATTTGACCTAGTCCAGTTTGACCTAAGGCAAAATAAGGCGTTGGTTTGGCCTAAGGGCTAGCCTGGGCAAGAGTGGGCTCCACGGTCAGTTTTTGAAAAAAAAAATGTGGCGCAGCAAAAGTTGCTTTTCCAGATGCATTAGCGTATAAGGATCTGCCACGTGACGCCTTCAATAACAATTGCTTAACAGCTAGTTGTTGGGCTGTTTTCAACTGTTAGTTAGTTGAGCCTTTTTTTAGATGTTTTTTTAATATACTCCAAACCCTTTTTACTTGTTTATTCTTGTTTTGTTGTTGTTTTTTTTAGGGTAAATTACAATAAACCCCCCAACCTATAAGGTCATTTATGGGTCCATACCCGATTTTGTGGACATTTATGAGTATATATTCAACGTCGCGGAAAACCTACAGATTGCCATCTCTGTTAGCGAGTCCGTTAGGAAATCCGTTATCTGCCTACGTGAGAAATGTGGGTTTCATTTTTTAATGAGGTGGACTTACAAGTGGACAAATAAATAATAAAAAATTATATATTTTTCAAAACTAATTTTAAATCATTAAAATTATTTTAAAATTGATTATAGAAAATAAAAAACCAACCTAGAAGAACCCACCACTCTCCCCCGTCGCAACCCTCCCTCAACACCCACCCATGGCAGCCCAACACAAACAAAAAAATCCATCTTCTCTGATATCCCCCTCCATTCTCAACCGTCATCCTCTCTCTCCTCCTACCACCTTCTCCGACCCAACCCAACCCACAATATGAATCCCAACTAAATCCCTCAGCCATCACCAACTCCACCCCGAAACCCAGCACATGCGCCCCCATCCTCAACCGCTATCTTTTTCATCAGAGAGAAGCTTGGAGAAGAACCCAGATGCATTAGCTAAGAACCCAGATTCATTATCACAGATAATTTCGGTCGTTTCGGACCAAAGCTCGCCCATTTCGTCACCAGAGATAAGAACCCAGATGCGTCACTGAAAGTTTCGGCCTTTTCAGATCATAATGAGCAATCTCCTTCATCATCTTCATCTTATTCATCGTCACCAGAGAGACGATCAAATGCTTCTGATCCAAAGGCCAAGTCTTTTTCACTAGAGAAAAGCCTAGCTGCATCACCAAGAATTTCAAGCACTTCCGAATATATTCATTGGATCCAAGCGCGTCCGAAACCCAGATCAAAATCTCAATCAATTTCTTCTCCATTTTGTTCTTGTAACTCTTCGATTAATTACTCTCATACAAAGAGTAAAGAAAATGGGGCAAGTGAAGGAGGAAGAGAAGGTATGCAGAGAGGTTGAGAAAATTGTGAAGTTGGCTGGAGACATGGGGTGAGGAGACGGAGAAGATGAGGGTTTTTATTTATTTATTTATTTTAAAATTAATGTTTTTTTATTATAATTTATTATATTAATTTTATTTGCTTTTTTTTCATTTAATTTTGTTATTATTTTAAAAATAATTTTTTATTATTTATTTGTCCACTTGTAAGTCCACTTCATTAAAAAATAGAACCCACATTTGCCACATAGGCAGATAACAGATTTCCTGACGGACTCGCTAACGGAGGGGGCAATCTGTAGGTTTTCCGCGACGTTGAGTATGTACCCATAAATGTCCCCAAAATCGAGTATGAACTCGTCAATGACCCTATAGCCTATAGGTTGGGTTTAGTTTGTGTTATTAAGTTAACCTTTTTTTTTTTTTTTTTTTTTTTTTTTTTTTTTTTTTTTTTTTTTTTTTAAATTATGTAAGGTTTAAAGTCATTTTTCCTCAACTGCAACCCATCTCTTTATTTTTATTTGAAACAAATCCTGTTATTTCTAAATAAAATCTGATGACTATTATCCAACTCAACAAGTTACCTAATCAAGAGCAAAATTGAATTTATTGTACTTTTTTTTATCCCTAAAAGATCCCCAACTAAGCTATTATTGTATTTTGTATATTAATGTAGGAACCAATAAGGAAACGAATTTTAATTGGATTGTAACTAATGACTTGAATTTGGAAAGTCTCCTAATGGATGTTGGAATTAATTTTGAACTTTTAAAAAATTTAACAATAAATTCATATTTAACATACCTAATCGGTTTATTAAATAAAAAAATGTTTTTTTTTATTTACTTAAGAAGTATACGTGATTAATTATGTATTATATTATTATTTTATAAATATAATAGCATACATACTGTTTTATGTTGAAAAAATAATGTACCTATTACTTGTTTTACAAAAAATAATGTACCTAATATGAATTTACTTATTATTCAAATAATATACCCAACTTTTATAAACGCATTTTGGATATAATTTAGGGCTTATCCAATATCGATCCCTACATTTTCTATTTCCTAGACATATACCCATTACTCTATAAATCTATGTGTAAAATCCAATTTCAAATTTAAATGACTAATAGGATATAAGAAGTCGTAGTATTTCTATGTTTTTACATCATTGCCACTAAACTTCATATTTTATTTATAATTTATTTCCAGCATTTCATTAACTGCCATAATTGTTATTAATATACTCCCTATTAATAACATATCAATCACCCCATTTCTTTTAGTTGTCATTCCCTCTCACATCTCGCCCCCTAAAATTACAAACAAAAAAAAAACTGTAAATTACATATCCAATAATGTACCTATGAAAAATATAATATAATATATACATATAAAATATAGGTATTATTATAAAAAAAAAAAAAAAAAAAAAAAAAAAACAAAGTTACTTTGTAATTGCGTATATTTTTCATAATTAAAAATAGGTACACAATAATTTATATAAAATATAGGTACATTATTTACCCACAAGTAAATTATTTTACAATATACCTGTAAATGTGCATAGGTACATTATTTGGAATAGATAATTATGTACACTTTTCATACTAGGTAAATTATGTTTTTCATAAAACAAAAAAGTAATAGTTACATTATTTTTTCAACATAATTAGTATGTACAGTTTTATTCATAAACAATTATAAAGTGGATTATTAGTCATGTATAATTCATAAAAAGAAAATAACATAAACATTTTATTAAACAAACCGATTACCTAAATTTGAATTTATTGTTAAATTTTTAAAAAAATGTTCCAAAATTAATTCCTACATCCATTACAACCATTTGGAGATTTTTCCAAATTCAATATCTGTCATTATATACAATCCAATTAAAAACTGTTTCCATATTGATTCATACATTAATATACAAAATGCAATAATGGCTTAGTTTGGGGTATTTTTGGAATCTGAAAAGTACAATAAATCAGATTTTATGCTTAATTAGGTAACTTGCTGAGTTGGATCCTAGTCATGAGTTTTTACTTATACAAATTGGGTATTATTTATAGGAACAAAAAGTGAAGGGTTTTAGGTAAGGCAAATTGAATTTGAAGGGTGTAAGCCAAATTTACTATATAATTTACCTAATAATTTTCTATTATGCTAATATCACTTATAACTTACCTGCAAAAGACCCACTAGTGTAGTGGTTTGGAGTATTTACTCCCTCAGGTAAAGTCCTAGGTTCGAGTCCTAACATCCATGTAGTGTGTGTGAGTTTAGTATGCTATCGGCCCTCTCAATAGGAAAGGTCCTCAAAAAAAAAATTTATTATAATTTACCTATTATGGGTATATTGTAGGTATATTAAAGCCAACACGTTAGGGTATATTGTGAAAATAATTTACCTACCTATATTGGACATATACAAGATATATAGGTAAATTTGTAGATACATTGTAAATATGTAGAAGTACTATGACCTTTTATATGTTTTAGTTTGAATTTAGGTATTATATATAGATTTCAAAATTTATGGATTGATGTCTAGGAAATAGAAATTGTAGGGGCTTATATCAGACCGGCCGTTTTTTATACTCCAAGCCCATCAAAATTGTTTTGAAAAATAAATTTTTGTGTTGCTTTTCTTATGCTTTGATTTTTTTATCACAAATAAAATAATAATAAACCGTTAGAAATCCTAAACCAGAAGGGTGCATAACATGGGTACGTATGACTGGTTCTTAAAAACTCACAATGTATCCAAACTAAAGAAATAAAATTTCTCATTTTATTATCAGTCAAAGATAGAAGTTGAACAAATATGAATGCAAAAATCCAAAGCTTATCAAATAGCTATGTTTTACTGCTTAGACACACCACATCATATGACTGGATATTATAGTCCCACATTGAAGTTTCCTCTCCTAGCCATGCGTCAACACAAATTCACTGGGCTTGTTCCACTTATATACATCATCATAATTACCAGTTTCACTGTTAAATCCGCGTGGACCGTCAGCTTTGATCAACCACGGACAATTCTTGCAGTGATCTCTATCCTGTATGAAAATGTCAAACCAATGGAATTGGCCAGGCCACTTAAAGCTACAATAGAATTGTGTACCCCCAAAAATGTTGACTCTGAAATGAAACCCATAGGTAGAGCCATAATGAATCAGTTGTTTTCCTAGATCGTCATCTGCGGACTTACAATGAACAGTAAGATCCACGTCTGGACCTAGACCGTTGGTAATGTTAACATTCCTGTTAAGAATGCCGTCGCTAAGTCCGACATGTGTGTCACGCAATGCAGCCACACCAATAGCGGCGAGCAAAAATGTCACTAGTAACACCCTCAATTGATTCATCATGGTGTTTTGTTTTTGTAAGGAGGATATACATTTTGTTTGCAGGGTGTGTATCAATTTATAGGTTGGAAATGTGGGATGATAGAGTTGAATCAACGTGACTATTTAAGAAAACAAAATTTACTTATCCAATTGCTGGTGCCACAACATTTTAGGGTGGGATATGACATTATTAAGCATTAAAAACGCATGAGAAAATACATTGAATTGTTAGGTGCCACAACAATTTCTCGAGTGAGAAAAAAATGACATTTGAAGTAAGTTTTAGAAAGCAAATAAGTGAATACATGATACATCCACTTGTTATTGGGATGGAGTTGTAAGTTTTCATAATGACCAATTATGAAAATTGGTTACCATAATGACCAATTATGGGCTCGTTTGATAACCATTTCAATTTTAGTTTTAAGTTTTCATTTTTTGTGCTAGAGTATAGAGGAAAATGAGAGAGAGAATGGAAGTGAGGATGAGATTGAGAGAGAGCATGTGAGGGGAGGATGAGAGGGAAGAGTAACAAAAATAAAAACAATTTCAAGTAGATTTCACTTTTTAAATTTTGTTTTCACTTTTAATACTCCTCTCTCCCATCTTCCCCTCTCATTCTCATCTCCGCTCTCATTTTTACTTATATTCTCCTTCTTTTTCCTCTATATTCTAACCCAAAAAATGAAAATTAAAAACTAAAATTGAAATGGTTATCAAACCAACCATAAGAAAACAAAAATATGTTTTCCAATTGTTGGTGAAACAACATTTCAGTGATGGGATAGAATGCCACATTAATTAATGAAAAAGCACCAAAGGGAATACATTTAGTACGAAAATGTTGGCTCATTTTTCATTTTTGGTAGGTTATATAATATTCATGCATAGGCTGTCATAGAATGAATATTTTAAGTAGATAAGAATAAATAACCTCTCTAAAAGAAAAATTACGTCGATTTTGTTGATTTTGTTGATTTTTTTTTATAATGTAATTTAGTTTGTTCCTATGCATGGAAAAGACCATGTTGCTCAGGCATTTTGAGGATGAGATTGAGAGAAAGTATAGCCGCGCAGTCTCTATAGCTAATTTGTTGATTTGTTTTGAATTAGAGGCTCTAAGAAAAAATTAAATTATTAGATTGATTTACTTTGAAAATTTGCTCTCTTTAATATCCACTTTGGATATGTTGAAACTAGCCAATTAACAATCAAGTATAAACTAATGCAAATAGGAGGAAACTTTTTTTTTAAATAATAAAAGGTATGCTATTCCTTTAAAATATAATATATTTAAATCGTATAGCCGAGCGGCTATATTGGGGTATTTTTAATAAACATAGTATAGTCGTTCGGCTATACTTGCTCACGTGGGCACCTTAGCGCAAGGCGGGTACTTTTTTCTAGGGGTGGCATTTTAGACCGAAAAACCGCAAAAATCAACCGACTATTTACCGCAATCGCGGTAAACCGAACCGCATTTGCGGTATGAATAACCGAACCGCATTTGCGGTTGCGGTTGCGATGTTTGATTTTCAAAACTTGTGGTTACCGCAAACCGCAAAGTATAGCCAATCTATGTTGTTTTATTTGATCTTCTTATAATAAAATGTACTAAACTATGTTGTTTTATTTGTAGATAGTATTAGTGCTCAAACAACACAACTGGGTTCTTCAAATTCACTCACCACCAACACTTGAGTTTGTAACATTGGCGCATTGCATTTTTTTTTAGTTTATAACTTTAATTAACTTTGAATTGGATTTTTCTGTTTAGTTGTAACTTTAATTCATTTTGCTTTGCATTTTCCTTTTTGTTTGTAACTTTAAAGGATTTGGAATTGGAATGCTTGAGAAGTTTAACTTTAATTGGAATGCTTGGAATTGTAACTTTAATTTTCTTTAGGTTGTGAATGCTTGAGAAATTGAGGAGATTGTGAATTTATATATGCTTGAGAAGTTGAGGTTGTGTATTTATTTATTTAGGTAGTGAATTTATATTTTTGTGAATGTTTGAGAACTTGCGGTTTTAAACCGCTAATTTGCGGTAACCGACCGCTTTTTGCGGTTTCAAAAATCACCATACCGCAAATAGTCGGTCGGTTTGCGGTTTGGACAAAAATTCGCAATTACCGAACCGCAACCACCCCTGCTTTTTCCCTTATAAATAGTATAGCCACCCGGCTTTATTCCCTTTTTTTTTAAATTATAAAAAAAATTTAATAGATAGTATAGCCGTATATATATATATATATATATATATACACTAGGGTTCTTTTTATAAAAAAAGTTCTCCCCCATTTTCTTTTATCGATATGAGTAGTTTAGAGCATTATCCATTACTATTAGCCCATAACCGGAGTATCTATTGTCCCCTTTGATTTTTTTTTACTCTGCCAAAGTTATTACCCATATAAAGAATTTAGCATTTTCACATTTAATACTTTTATTATACACGTATGTATGTATTTTCCAACAATCCATCTGTTTCTGTACACATCTTGGGCTCTGTGATTTAAATTAAACCTGAATTTTTAATTAATTATTTATTTATTTGAATTATTTTTAAAATTCAAATATTATATAATTTTTTTGTCTAATTGAATTTATCCTTATCTAATACCTATTGCAATAGTTTTTAATTGATAGCCATATTTAATTTCATTATTTAATTTGTTGTTTAATTAAATTATTAGAATAATATTGATTGTTGTTCCTCCAACAAGTTTCACTCGAGAGAACGAGTTAGAACAAAGGCAAACATTCCCACCAAAAAAAATAATAAGAAAAAATTGAACTCTTATACATTGATGTACTCTGAAATTTCTCTTTCTTCAATATTCGCATTGGACATGTTGAAACTAGCCAATTAATATCAATAAAGTATAAACTAATGCAAATAGGAAGGAACTTTTTATTTATTTATTTTCAATAAAAGGTAGGCTAAACTTTTAAAATATAATATATTTAAAGAGTATAGCCGCCTGGCTATACTATGGTAATTTTTTTTTTAACAAATTATTGCCGGGCGGCTATAATGGGGTTTTTTTTATAAATAAAAGAAAAATAGTATCGCCGGTTGGTTATACTGGTTTTGACACGTGGGCACCATAGCGCTAGGCGGGGCTTTTTTCCTTATAAATAGTATAGCCGGAGCGGCTATACGGGGGTATTTTTATTTTAAAAAAGTACAGCCGCCCGGCTATACGGATTTGATTTAATTTTAAATAGTATAGCCGAGCGGCTATACAGGGTTTTTTTTTTTTTTTTTTTTTTTTTTTTCTTTTTTAAAATATATAACTAGCCGGCTTTATTATTATTTTTAATAGATAGTATAGCCGTATGTTATCATTTTATATTAATTATATTTATCAAAAAATAAAATTAAAAAAAGGAAAAGAAAGCAAAACACTCTCTCTGCAGAAAACGAATAACATGTTCTTGCATCCATCGACGCTCACAGCCACCAACTCCGGTAGAAATTACAACAAACTCGGGGAAGCGAGCTCGTTCGCGGCCTCAACATGATCTGACAACTGACCTATTTGAATGGTGGCGATGAAGGACCCGACCCATGAGAGAATCTGGTCATTGGTGGCAATCTGGTCGAGAGGAGGGGCGAGATTCCGAATACGACAAGCAATTCGCCGTTGGGTAGGTGGCTAGATGTACTGAATTTTTCTTCTCACCACAGCCATCCCACGTGATAGAGTCATAGAGACAAACATACAGAGAGGGGCGGGTGGATGTGGGTCTGGGACAGGCGATGGGGAGATCTAGTGTGGTGGGGCTGCCTTTTTTATTTATTTATAGAGATCTTGTTTTTAAAGATTTTATTTAGAATTTTCTAAAGGTAGAGGTGGAGGTTGATCACCTCATGGTGGAAAGTTCTGCCTTTTTTCAATCAGATGACGGTTAAAAACTTATTTTTAAGGCTTTTTATCACAAATGGTCCTTAACGTTTAAGATTTTATTACGAATGGTCCTTGAGGTTTTTTTGTGACACTAATAGTCTTTAACGTTAGGGCTTTTGATCACAAATGGTCCCTTCGTTAAAAATTCTGTTAAGTGTCTAAAGTGAAAGACAAGTGGAGCCCATATGTCCAATCACATTGTGGCATGTGGATGAATAAATAATTAAATAATTTTTTTTTATGAAAATTTTTCTTTCTTTTTTTTTTTTTTTTTTTTACTTTTCATCCCTCTCCTCCTCTACTCCATCTTTCTCCCCCTCTGCCCTTGCTCTCCATCCTCTGCCCCTTCTCTCCCCCTCTGCTCTCCTTCTCTCCCCCCTGTCCTATCCTTCTCCCTCTGTAAAAATAATAATATAACCCATATATCTTTATTCATCTTTGTATAGTGGTATATAAATCATAACCCACAATCCCCCTTTGTTTTTTTCTTGCCCATTGCCTGCCACCTGCAAGAAAAAATGGTCTTTGGTATTCTTTTATTCGTCTCTTTTTTTAACACAGCCACCCACAAGCCGCAACCCACGCCCAACTCCCCTACCCTCTCCCACTGTATTTTCTCTCCTCCTCTACTCTCCCCCTCTGTTTTTAATTGTTTTAAGTTGTTTGAATAAATATTTGTGTAAAAGGAAATGTGAAACTACCTTGTGCAAGTGATTATTTTGCAAAATATACAGAGGGAGAGGGGTGGGTTGTAGGTGGGTGGGCATGGGGTGGTCGGGCTGTAGAGGCAAGGAAAAAAAACAGAGGGAGAGGGAGAGGGAGAACACGGGAGGAGAGAGGGCAGAGGGGAGGGGGAGAGAGACAGAGAGAGAATGGATTTTCATAAAATAAAATAAAAAAAAGTTCTTTATTTATTTAATCCACATGTCACAATGTGATTGGACATGTGGGCTCCACTTATTACACTTAACAGAATTTTTAACAGAGGGACCATTTGTGATAAAAAGAACTAACATTAAGGACTATTACTGTCACAAAAAAACATCAAGGACCATTCGTGATAAAATCGTAAACGTTAAGGATCATTTGTAATAAAAAGTCTATTTT